ATTTCAGCAGAGAAGAAATAGAACTGTGATTATAACCAGTTGATAGGTGGGAAATGAATTCCATCCTAGATGAGAAGCAGCATGAAAAAGAAAGTAATTGCTTCCCCATAACCTTCAAACCTATTTATATTGCTCTTTGAAAACCCCTTTCTTAACACAGGTTGATAGTAATTCCATGAGTACTGTGAATTTTGCTTTAAGATTGGCCACATATGATATTCTTGTCCAAAACTTCATAGTTTTATAACTACAGCTAGATGTTCAATTAAGCATTTTGTATGAGTGTACCTATGTCTGTATGTGTTTGTGTCTATCCTTAGCCTGCTTTGGATTATAGAAAGGTCATAGACTTTGGAGCCAATGCTGATCTAGACGCTATTACTTCTAACTTATGTCATATGTAAATTTCAGTTTCTTCACTTCAAAATAAAAATGATAGTATATAGATAGAACAAGATGGTAATGCTGGTTGGATGCCTCAGCAGCAGACTTTGAAACAGAGTCCTAAGTCCAAGTAAAATTTCTATAACCAGTGATCCAGGATGCAGCACTGAAAAGGAGCCAAACCCACATCGGGCATGATATTGGCAGGTCCCTGCTATGGGCACCTGGGACTCATTCCCATTTAGGACCTCCAGGAGCCTGTTGAGATTTGGAGCAGGGATAGACCAACCATAGCCTGCTCTTTGTAAATAAAGTTTTATTGGAGTACAGCACAGCCATTCAGTTAGCATTGAATGGTTGCTTTTGCACTGCAAAAACAGATTTGAGTTGTTAAGATGGACTGTGTAACCCACCGAGTTAACATGTTAACTATCTGACTCTTTATAGAACTAGAGGCTTGTCAGCCAGGTGTGACTCAGAGTTTTCACACTGAGAGAGTAAGGAAACTGGGTGTTTATCATGATCCCTTAGTTCTCCAAGGCTGAGTGGTGCAGTCTCAGCGATGGTGAAAGGGTCATCCGCTGCAGTCTGTCCTGGGACTTATTTTTGGGGATAGTCATGGCTGTGGGAGCTACTCTTATCCTTGACAGCTTGCTTGACTCTACTTCTTCCAGACCAGCTTTGCAGGCATCTGCATAAGGCATTTTATGAACAGACATTCCAGGAAAGGGGGCAGTAAGTCTGATAGTTCGGTTCCAGATTAAGAAAAAGAAAAAGTAGACAGTAAATTTAGATTAGTCACAGTAGTGAGCACCTATTGATTTTGTACTTTCTGATAATAAACTATTTTCTTTTCTTTTTTATTGTGGCAAGATGTGAATGCCATAAAATGGGCCATTTTAGCTACTTTAAGTGCATTTACAATACTGTGCAACCATCATCACCTAGTTTCAGAAACTTTTGTCACCCCACATGAAACCCTGAACCAGTGACACTGTCAACATTCCCTTCCACTGTCTGACTTTACTCATTCTGGATATTTCATGAAAAGGGAGGCATTCCCTACGGGGCCTTTGGACTGGACTTCTTTCACTTAACATAATGTCTTCAAGGTTTATCCTTGCTGGGATATGAATCAGAACTTCATTCCATTCTTTTCTTTTTTTTTTTTTTAAAGATTTATTTATTAGTACAGAACTGGGGTACAGGTCAGAGATGCGGAGGGTGAGAGGATTCACCAGAGAGAGAGTGGGGAGCAGAACAGGCAGATTGACGAAGTCCACTGCTAAGGGGAGCAGCGGGCGGGTCAGGAGAGGTCTGCCGCGCCATGTGGGTCACCTCCGGGGCAGGAGGGGATCGAACACATGCGGAAGTGGCTTAAGCTTCTTTGTGCTGTGCTTTAACCCGCTGCGCCACCAGGGAGGGCCCATTCCATTCTTTTTTAATGGTAGAAATGCACATGTATTTTTATCAACATTATCACATCCATTTGGCAGATTCTAAACGTGACACAGCTCTTCCCGAATTAACCCCAGCACCAACTCTAGCACCTCCACCTTTAAGCCTATAAGTGCTGTTTTTCTTCTGCATCACTTCCATAGAAAGTCATGGAGTATATGGATTAGATATTTCATCTCTTATGAAACATATGAAGCGTATAAAGAAATATATGAAAAAGAAAAAGGGAGAGAAAAATATTTTTTCAGTGCAAGATTTTTCATAAATAATCTCTGTTAACATTCCCTATTCCTGCTGGGAATACTACTTTTGATCATTAGTTACTAACTAAGAATTTATTTGGCAAAAAAACCCACCAGAGAATGAAGTCTGTCTGGTGTCATGGTTTCATTTGCGCCCAATGGACTGTGGGGTTGGAAAGCATCCCTCCTGTCCCTTTGGTGTCTTGGCACAGTGCCAAGGGTTCCTGTACAATGAACCCCATGCTGTGCTGTCCTGGGCTCCCGCTCTCTCACCTCAGAAGCCTGTTTTTCATGTTTTGCTGCATCTAATCTGGGCATTACTTGTCGGGTGCACCTGTGTCTCCCTCGCCCTTGAACATTTTCTCAAGCTTTGGCGACTCATCTGTTCCTTCTCCTGTTCTTCCCATGCCCATTTGATTGGGCAGCTTGAGAACGGTCATTTCCTTGGAGCAGATCTGAATGGATCAGATGGCCCCGTGGAGCGTGTCTCAGCCAGGCATTTGTGGATGTATGTGGAAGGGTTTGATTGATCCCCAAAGGATCAGACCTGACCACATACTTGAAAGCTGGCCCTTAGAAGTACCAGGCGTCATTCTCTGCCGGCCCATTCATATTTACCCTCTGATTCATTCATCTTCATATCAAAATCAAGCTGGAGCTCATGTTCTAGCGGGCTTTAATAGTAACTCATTTTGTCACAGTACTCAGTAATATGTAATGTTTCCCTGTTTCTCGGCCTCGAGTCTGGCTGCCCTTGAAGTTGACTCTCCAGGTCCTTTCTTTTACACTTGCTTCTCCTGCAGGTGGGGTTTCCTGCTACCTGCCCTTTCCTCATGTAAAAGCACCCAGATACTTGTTCAGGTTCTGTGTCCAGTCCAGGTGTTTTCTTCCCTGATGTCCTCAGTTTACTTTTATTTTTCTTCCCTTTGAAATACTAGAATTTGGTGGCGCAGCAGGTTAAAGCACAGCACTGCAAAGCTAACTGCAGCTGCTTCAGCACAAGTTCAACCCCCAGCCAGGGAGGTGTTCCACAGGGTACATCAGGCCTCCCCTGTCTTGCTGACTGCTCCCCTCAGCAGTGTACTTTGTTGATCTGTCTGTTCTGCTCCCCACTCTGTCTCTGGTGAATCCTTTCACTGCCTCTGCA